GCTTGGTCGCAATCAAAATGACCGAAAAAGTGTTCTAACGCTTGGTCATAAATAAGTTGACTAAAATCATTTTGACTCTTGGTCGCAATACTCTTGTAAATGACTGAAAAACATCCCATCACGAGGTCACCACAAAAAACCTCATACGGCTTTCCAAAGCGCGAATATAAAGTTAGGATTCTTTTTAAGTTTTCAAGTTATATTTGGTTGCCCTATGAAGTTTTTTGTTTTCCAATTTCCAAGAAAGACGGGTGAATTATACAAAGAAAGTAAAATGCAGTTATATAGGGTTAGCCCACACAAACACATGACCACAAGTAAAAAAAAGGACCAAAAGGTCATATTTCGTTCATATGAATGGTTGTTTTGAAACCCTAGTATGTACACTTTGAGTAAAAAAAAAAAGAAGAAAATATCGGTTCTATGAATCTTCGGGTCAAGTGTTGGATGATCCGCCATCCACCACATTATCACCCTCAGATTTCTCGCAATGTCAGAAGCTGATGGAGCGTTGTAAAGTTTCTTAAATTATTCAAGGTTAGAATAATTGGGCTCGACCATCCCCACTCTAGCGACCTCATCAGCCTCAATCTTGTGGCCCGCCTCGGATATTTAACTCTAGTGACGAGAAGTTCTTCAGCGGTCATCATAATAGACACCAGCTCCGTCTATTCAACGTTCTCCTCTTGAGCCACAAAAATCCATTCGGATGCTATTTCTAACTCCGCTCTAACGTTTTTCAGGTCAGCCTCTGCCTCGACTGCCCTCATGGTGGCCAGATCCCCCCGCTCTTGATATTTCCTAGCCTTCTCCTTAGACTTGGCAAGTCTCTCTCTCTCTTATGGATAGATAGAGGGAGGTTAGGTGGTGAGTGGAAGCGTAACGTACGAGCTGGAAGCGGTCGAGTGGTTGACACAACTCAACTGGGCGGAGTTCGCCAGAATGTTTGTCCAACTCGGCTGACCATAAAATATCGGCAATTGTAGAAGCATATCCAGCCGACGCCAAGTATAAGGGGGAACCAATCCCTATCAATATTCATCAGAGAAAGGCTTGATTTAGAATTCATGTAAATCTTTGGTCGGTTTTTTTGCAGTGGGATCCATCGATCTTGGCCTTCTGTCTTACTTCTTGGTGGAGTTGGGAGGAAAGAGTCAGAAGAGACAACTTTACCCTTTCTCTTGCTCTTGTGCTCAGCCATCTCAACCAAATTGGGTTTTTTTCTGAGTATTTTTCCAAATATCCATCAAACGGCTCTCCCTCAACCTTCACCTGGGGTGACTGTCGGCTTGCCTCACCCCTCTCTAACAGAGAGATAAAACCAAGCAGACGGCCAGCAAATCTTTTTTGATGAGGGATGTCTGGAAGACTCCTCAGTATCTGTCGGGAAGAGAGGAGTCGTGTCATCTCATGAGTCTACTATGATCACCAGACGACATTTCCCTTTGATAAGTATTAATTCTCCTGTAACTTTATTTTGCATAGTAACAAAAGTTTTGGAAACCGAATGAATGAAATGTGAACCTGAAATTTGCCCTCTGGACGGGTCGGCTTCTTCAGTTCCCTCTTTTGTCTTTACTGCAAGGGCACCACCCGCTTTCTTCCTCTTCCTCGTCACCTTCTTCGAGAGTTGGGCGGCCTTCTCTAGCTTCCCTTTCTCCTCTACCTCGTCAGAATCAGCCCACATCTCTTCAGTCATTGGGCCATACTCGGGTTCAGCACTCGATTTATAGTCAGGGGGTCACTGTATTGGACCATCGACAGTTGCCGACCAAGAATGACATGTTCCATCGCTTTCAACCGCGGGGCAACCATCTTGCTCTTCTTATACGGGCCATCAGTTGCCTTGGTTGAGATTCCCCACTCATCATATAGACGACCCTAAAAATTCTAAGCATCCAATCTTTATTTTGTTCTCCAAATCTATTAAATAGAATTTCCAGGTAGTCGCAAAAACCACATACATGTCTGGTTCGACTCAGAGGGAGAACATATGCGAAAACAGTTCACGGGACCAAGGAACGCCCATTCTGCGTAGATAAATCACATGTCATAACAGCGCCGATTGAGTTTGGCTTCACATGAGCTTGAATCACACCATAGAAGTTGATGATTGAACATAAGGGCAGCTGAAGATCAAAGTGAAATTGTTCTCTATAAAAGGTAAAGTCGTTGCCCAGGTAATTAGTAGCCCGGACGTCTGTATCCACTCGCTCCAATACGAGTAGACACAAGTCTCTTCTAACAACCTAACTTTGAACTCTGTAAGCATCAATCGCTCGTTCAATCTAACTGAGCCAAACATCTGTGAAGAGTACTTCAGAGCCATCAAACTCTGAAGACAAGCCGACTCAAGGCTGGTGAGAGCATAAAGAACAAAAATTCTACTTAGCATCTGTCATAACCTGTATATATATACCCCATGTGGAAGTTGAAATGCCACATCGAGTTTCGCTAAGATGTCACTTCGATGCAGAAATCAAAGAAAAAATGATCACTAAATTTAAAAGATTGTAAATATTTATTTATAAAAAAGAAATATTTTACAGCAGAATCGTCCGCCGTCTCGGACAGGACCAAAACCCAACTCAACAGACTCGTGTGCAACGCATGCCCATTAAACTTACACTTTTATATTTTCTCCTAAACACGGATAATAGCGATCAAGTTGGTTGCGCAAAATTCAGCCAGTTCCTTTTCTAGATTCTCCACCAAGTCTCGGAGAGCCTTCGCGTCCGCAATCTAGGCCTGGACAGCCTCCACGTCTGCAAATCGGGGCCTGGAGAACTTTCACGTCTGCAACTTGGGCCCAAAGAACTTCCTCATCTGCAACTTGGGCCTGAAGCGCTTCCATATCAGCGTATAAGACCACTAGTTCCTCCCGAAAGTTCGGCACAGTGGCCTCCCGTTGAAGATCCACAGGCCGGACCAAGGAGTCCACGGTCTCGTCTATACATCAGACTAGCAACTCATGAGACTTGCTTCAGCCATCAGTCTCCCTCTCTGGGTCGGCTAATGGAAGTTGTAGGACCAGAAGAGGCAGCGAGTCGGATACCACCTCAGCCGCAGCAGGAGCAGAAGGGTCGACAGGCTCCGTTGGCTCGGGTTGACATTCAGTCTCTTATAGGACGATAGTCAATAATATCCACGATTTCATCTGTAGTATTAGAGTCAGTGTCATAAGAATAACTTGAAGGACCGAATAAAAGGAAAATCTAGGTTATCAATCACGCGCTCTATCTCTGGTGTACGGAAGATTTTTGCAACGGGAGGAGGGGCACTCCTTGGTGACCTCATTCGACCAAAGTCTGAAGGGGAATATCTTCCATCGGCGGACCATCTCCTCAGACAGCTTCACCAGCTAAAATCTGGATTGGATCATCTGTTGAGGGGTTGCATCACCTTTAGTGACCTCCCTGGTCTGAGGTTGAAGCAGGATGAATTCTCGCAGCTGAAGTTGGACTGCCATCGCCACAGGTTCCCTCTCTTGAGATGATAGTTGGGCGGACATTAGCAGAGTGGTACAGGGTGTAAAACATGCCCTGCTTTCTGACTTCGCACTTCTATAAGTGGAATGAAATCGGACGATTCCCCAACCTCTTCCACTTGCAGCTTCTTCGTTGTCGGCTTTCTAACTGAGTTTAACCCTTCAGGCTTGGTTCCCTTAATCGACCTTTTATCTTCTTTTCTTTTTTCGGTGGGTCGGACCTCTTCACCCACCATTTTCTTCATGGCGGGCGAAAATTTGCCGACATTTTCTTTTTTTTATCTCTAGAGTGGCGAGTCTTCAAAGCGGGGAGCCCAAAGGCCCCCATCAATGTTTCCCCACTCACCGGTTTCTTAGCGCCTGACATATTCGCTCGCAGATATGACCAGCTGAAAAATGAAAAATTCGTCAAATGAGAATAAAATGGCGCACATTACACTCTATTTATAGGAAAAAGCGGTAGGATAATTCAGATAATATAATTATTGACAATATTTATTAATCATTATGTGAACCGTCATGTTATTTAATTCCCTTATTCTTATGGCGGTTGTCATTTTCAAATAAGAGAATCGAAGAACTAATTATGTACATCAAAAATAGGTCTACAATGATCTCGAGAAAATCTGATGGATTGTGTGAGGAGAGTTGATGTACGATCATCGTCATTACACCAGTCTGCCTTTAGAGCCGACCGAACGAAAGATTGACCGACCAAAGAACACCGCGTGCCCGTATTGACGCCTACGAACCCAACGTTTGCCATTGGAAAAAGTCAACAACCACTTGAAGGGAATGCCTTTTATAGACTCTTAGACTAAAGGAATGCTACCCATCAGGTTACGATAATGAACTCTTTGCCGGATAGAACAATCCTTCCAAAGGATCGAGTCTTCAAAACGGGTTCCTCAAACGAGGCAGCCGAAGATTGTTCAGCCAACAGAATAACTTATGGTTGATCGAATGAATGTCGAGTGATCAAATTTGTCAGTTATAAATACAGAGCGATTCCAATGACAGTTACAAATATGGAACGACGCCAACAGCAGTTACCGGATCAAAATATGTCAGATTCAGTTACAAATATATAAAGCTGTAACAGCTCTGACATAATGGTAACGCCCCCATTAAAGGGTCATTTTCACTAAAGGGGGACTATTGCACAATTTCCTAAAAAATTGGGTATTGTGTCCTGTCTCTTTTTCCTTTCCTTCGACTAGCACACTACAGGACAATTCAGGATCCAACAAAAATATACCCTAAAGCAATACTGAAATTTATTATTTTTATAATTTCATTTGGTGTAGTAAAAAATCACAGTTTTTAAACTTCACAGATTCTGTAAAAATAATTATTTTGTTTCACGAAATTGATTCAACAACATATTCACAAGCACCCAGAATGCCCCTTAGATGATACACGTACCAATTTCAGAAACATCCTTTTAACTTGTTAGAAAACTTTGATCGGTAGTATAGTTTCTTAATATTGTGTTATCTTATTCCTGCTATAGGTATAGCGTGGATTTTGGAAAGAATGAGGTTGAAGTGCTGAAACATGCAGCAAACTACTTGGAGCCAAAGAAATCGGAGGAACTGCTGGAGTTGCTTGCAAGCACTCAGTTGAAGGCTGTAACAGCTCTGACATAATGGTAACGCCCCCATTAAAGGGTCATTTTCACTAAAGGGGACTATTGCACAATTTCCTAAAAAATTGGGTATTGTGTCCTATCTCTTCTTCCTTTCCTTCGACTAGCACACTACACGACAATTCGGGTTCCAACAAAAATATACCCTAAAGCAATAATGAAATTTATTATTTTTATAATTTCATTTGGTGTAGTAAAAAATCACAGTTTTTAAACTTCACAGATTCTGAAAAAATAATTATTTTGTTTCACGAAATTGATTCAACAACATATTCACAAGCACCCAGAATGCCCCTTAGATGATACACGTACCAATTTCAGAAACATCCTTTTAACTTGTTAGAAAACTTTGATCGGTAGTATAGTTTCTTAATATTGTGTTATCTTATTCCTGCTATAGGTATAGCGTGGATTTTGGAAAGAATGAGGTTGAAGTGCTGAAACATGCAGCAAACTACTTGGAGCCAAAGAAATCGGAGGAACTGCTGGAGTTGCTTGCAAGCACTCAGTTGAAGGTTATCTATCAGCCATATGACTGGGGTTTGAATTTCTAGGAAATTTGTTCATACCAGGGATAATATTAAGGAGCGATTCTATAGTAATTTTGGCATATAATAAGAGATGGATTAATTTTGGCAGTTATCCATAGTCTATATCATTATATTTATCGTATGCCTGTTATAAAAAGGCTTCGATTGCAATTGCTTTGGATTAATTTGATCTGCTGTTCCATTTTTGAGACGTGATGTTTATTATTATTTTATAATTATAATTTTCCTTTTTTACTGAATGGTTTGGTCCTTTAGCTAGGATGAGATTTTTGTTTTTTTCACATTTTCTAGTGGAAGTACTGAATAAGGGAGCATTATATACAATTCAGTCTGACAGTCATTGGAAAAATTCAGAATCTCCTGCATTTCCATTGATTCGAATGACTTCAATGTTCATCATCTTACTGGATTGTCATTGTTTCTATTTTGACAAGGCAGATTTCAAATTGGTAAGAATAATCAGTCTTTTCTAAAAGGAGAACAACAGCAGTGCATACAGGAGTGTCTGACCGGGTAGGCCAAACTCAGCTTTCAGAAAAAAAATTGTTGAACAAAAGCGAAAAATGGCAACATATTTTGTCCAACTTTAGTTGATCCCCAATTATTTTAATTCACAAAATTTTGCAAAAGCTGTCCAGTTAGGGGTTCCATTTAATTCTGAAATTATGAGCTTGTTTTAATGCTGCAAATTTATGTTATTGATTTCATTTAGGGGATGATTGGTTTGTTAAAAAAAATAATGTATTGTAAAATGAATGTGATATAAAAGTGAGGTATTGTATTTGAAATACTATATGGCTGTTGGATTAATCTTAAATAAATGTAGAAGGTTATATATATTTGATTTGAATTGGATTGAAAATAATATATTTTTAAAAATATAAGGTATTATTGGCGGTAGGCATTGGCCGGCACTGGTAGCTGCTGCGAGTGTCGGTGGCTGGCACCAAGCAGCGGCAATGTCCGGCAATTTTTTTTTTTTTTTTTTTGAAAAATGCATATGCATTAACCAAAAAATAAAAATACATACAAAAGAAATAGCAAATGATGTTGGCTGGTGCATCAACGTGCTGACGAATGGTATAAATCTGAAATTTTGCCAAATCAGTTAAATTATAAACTCAACAAAAATAAATTAAAGTGTAAACTTCAAATTCACTTTATGTTTTATTTGTATTTCTTCATAGCAATATTAAATTGTCTAAAATCCCTTTAAAAAAACTATAATATATACAAATTATCCCAACCAAACACTCCCTTAATCAGTACAAGTCACTTGGCACTAATTTAATCTTGCGACAAATGATCTAGTAGTTTGCCACCTCATAAATTGACTGATTCTACATGGCCTGTAAAAACAATAAATCGTCATACTTGCAGCACTAAAACACAAATTGTCTATTATTTCTTTGTCAAGTCAAAACTCTATACAGTTAGCCAATAAATTATCAGTATGTCCATCTTCTTAATCAATTCAATCATAAATTCGATAAAATTCGGAAGACAGTCAAATCAAACTTTGCATGCCTTTGTGTTAAGTTCTCAGCTACTAAAATACTTACATCACTCATCCCTACCAGTAGTCTTTGCAAGAGCAGAACCCATCCCAGAAATGATGAAACCTTGTTGCATCTCTCACCACGATCTCCCTCCCAGTTACTTTAGAAATAAACTTTATAGCATTGTGGCAATCATTGCACACCCTCAAGTTCTTCATTATCCTCAACACTGTATTTTCTGAGGTGCTCATTAGTCCAAATGCAATAGCAAGCTTCTCGCTGTGAAGACTAAGCATCCTCTCCTTCAGCTCCTCATCGACATCGTGCAACACCGACTCAGTATCAGGAACAAATCCAGCCTTCTTTATCTCCACCCACACCTTCCCAGCCATTTCATATATGGCTTCCCTCATTGGGTGCAATCCATCTTCTACTCCAAACACATGAGTTTTGTTTTTGATGTGAATCCAGCTGAATCCCTTCTCTTTCTTTACACCTTTATCTCTCATCAACTTCCATGCCGCCGCAGCTTCTTGCCATCTACCACACAAAGAATATACATTCGCCAGCGCGGAATAAGCTCCGCTGTTCTCAGGATCAATTGAGAGCAATCTATCCGCAGCAAACCTCGCCAAATCTGCATCTTTGTGAACCCTGCAAGCAGAAAGAAGTGATCCCCAAGCTATGGCATCGGGTTCTACCGGCATCAATTTTATAAAATCCTGTGCTTCCTCCAGTCTTCCACAGCGAGCGAAAAGATCAATCATGCAGGCATAGTGGCTAGCTGTTGGCTTGATCTTTTGAACATTCTGCATCATTGAAAAATAATCTTTTCCTCTCTCTACCAATCCTGAATGAGTACAAGCAGATATTACACCAACATATGTGATATGATCAGGCACAACACCATGAAAAAGCATTTTCTCAAACATGTTTACAGCTTCTTCTCCCAAACCATGCTGTGCTAGAGCAATGATCATGGAGGTCCATGAAACCGGTTCGCAGGCCAACCTTATTTCACCGAACACCCTTCTTGCCAGCTCAATGCACCCAGACTTTGCATACATAGTTATTAATGCATTGCTGACAGAGACTGAAAGCCCTTCCTTTGACCTAACTGCTTTGGAATGGATCTGCCTGCCATGCTCCAATGCTGCTAGACTTGCACAAACGCTCAAAATGGCAGCAAGGGTGTAATTATTTGGCTCAGGACCTTCACCCACCATCAAACTGAAGAGTTCCATTGCCTCTTTGTTGAAACCGTTCTGGACATACCCCACAATAATCGCTGTCCACGCCACGACGTCGCGGTGCTTCATAGAATCAAATATTTCTCTTGCTGGTTGCATCTCTCCCAGCTTGACATAACCTTCAAGTAGAGCAGTGAAAGATACCACATTTAAATCTGACACAACCGTTTGCTCTACAATCCTGCGAGCATTTTCTACTCCACCTGATTTAGAGTACATTGAAATCAAAGCATTGGCAACCTGCCAAACAATCTCCATCTCAGTTCTAATGAGATAGCCATGGATTTGCCTGCCAATCTTCAGCATCCCAAGATTAGCACAAGCGGATAGAACACTTGTGATTGTGAAGTGATCCGGGATCATTTGAGTTTCTTTCAGCATTCTAGAGAAGAAGAGAAGAGCTTCTAAATCAGATCCATTCTGATTGAAACCCGCAATTATCGCATTCCATGACACGATGCTTCGCTCGCACATCTCGTCGAAGTGGGAACAAGCGATGTCCATCTGCCCTGATTGCGAGTAAAGTGAGATCAACGTGTTCCAACTCGATACCGTCCTCACCTTCATCCTATCAAAAACCACCTTTGCCATCAATGCATCACCACATTTTCCATACATATTGAGAAGTGAATTTGCAACAGGAATGCAGCTACTCATACCTAACTTGACAACAAAGGAATGCATGATCCTCCCAATGTTGTGATCCTTCATTGCAGCGCAGGAGGAGAGAATATTTGTTAAGGTGAATTGGGTCGGAGGGGATCCTGCTCGAACCATCGCCAAGAGAATTTGCAGAGCTTTGCGGAATAGACTCGCCTGGTTGCACCCGACGATCATGGCGGTCCAGGAGACCGAATCTTTCTCAGGCATTAGATCGAAGTATTTGTTAGCCGTGTCGATTTGTCCGCTTTTAGCGTGCATGGAAAGAATGGAGTTCCAGGTGAAGATATTCTTCAGAGGCATTTCGTCGAACAGGTTACAGGCGTCGGAGAAGAGACGGACTTTTGAGTAGAAGTTGATGAGATTGTTGGTGAGGTAGAGGCCGAGATGGAGGAGGCCTGCTTTGGTTAGGTAGGCATGGATGGATTTGCCGGCAATTCGATTTTGGGTTTCCAGGCATTGTTGGAGGAGAGAAGCCCAGTGCTCGGTAGGGTTCATTGAATTGAAGTGGAGGACGAAGAGCGGAAAATCAGATGGCGAAGTATGCTGAAGTCATGAAGTCCAAGTGAGGATAGCAATTTTGATTGAACTTTTCTACGACAACAAGTCGAGCGCCGCAAGTTGGCGTGGGAAAAAATTATAATTGGCTTGAAATTTTCGAGTTTTGAATTTCGGTTCGGATTGTAGGTTGAATTTTTTTTTCAGCTCACCATAAACTTGAAGTCGAATCATTAACAATTTTATTTATATTATGGCTATAAATTTAATCAATTTGGCATGAAAATTGTTTATCACTCAAAAATTGATTTCAATTATGATTAGAATTAAGCTCGGCTCAAAAGTTCATTAACAACTATAAAATTTGGATTTTTCTTTTTAATTTCAGTTCCTTAACAACTATAAAATTTGGATTTTTCTTTTTAATTTTTCTTTTTCCAGGAAAATTAAGCCCATTGAAAAAATGCTACTGATGGTTGGCGGCTGGTGGTCAGCAGCCATCGATAACTTGTGATCGGCGGCTGATGGTCAACGGTGGTCGATGATGGAGGAGAGATAATGGACTTCAGCTCTTTCTGAAAGCTTCAAGCTCTCTCCCCTATCCATGAGAGGGTGTAGCTTTATTATAGAGTCATGGGTGCAATTAATGCAAGAGTATGAATTAATTTGATCAGACGTTCCAGAGTGTTTTCTTTGATCAAATAGTGTTTGATGGACATTTAAATATCTTAATGTTGTTATAATTGAGTGATTTTGTGCACATTAGATTCGTCAATTATAAGCTTGTCAGTTCCGACAATCATTTGACTTTTCAAATATGTTAAAAAAACTTTCAAAAGCCATTTAATGGCTTGAGCTGTGCTTGTTTTACTTAAATTAAATCAATTTTGGTATCATTGGATCTGTCTCGTTGAGTCGATCAATTTGACTTTAAATTTGCTGAAATCAGACTTCGGGATGATTTTTTTATGGAAGCTTGAATAGATTATATTCAAAAAGGTGCATCGAGATTAAAGTCATGATTGGAGATTCGTGTCGGATATTGGAATGTATTGATGGCTTCTCATCAAGCTTAATGATCACAAATCTGTGTGATTTTAGACTCCTTGGAATCCTTACATTGAGTGGTTTGTTCTAAATATATGAAAAAAAAAAGAAGAAATCATCTAGATCTTCAATTAGTATCTTAAAATGTTTATCTATATTCTAAGTGCTTGCAATATGAACTTTATTGAAGTTTAATCAAACTACTTTGATGTCATTTTGTTCAGTTTGAAAGTAAATTATTTGAGATTGAAGGTCATCTCATCTTAAATTAAATTTTAAAAGTTTCTAATTTAAAATTTGCATTGAGATTAACACTTATTCAAATTAGGTTTATGTTTAACTTGTCATTTGCACTCTATTTTTAGACAAAATGTCACATCATTTGAAAATAGACATATCAAGCCTTTAAAAAAATTGAGGCATAATATTATAGTTTTGAAACAAAAATGGTATTTGGTTATTATGGGTCTATTTGGGGCAGTTGTAGCTTATTAATAAGCTGCTGATAAGTAGCTGCCTCAAGAAGCTGTTGCGTAGCAACTGTTGAGAATAATTGGTTGTTTGGTTTGTGTTGTTGGAAAACGATTGTTTTGTAGTTGTTTTTGGATAAATGATCATTTTGCCCCTATGTAGTAATGAAGTTTGCAACATAATTGTTAGAATAATATATTTGATATTTGAGAAACAAAAATGCACTTCAGAACAGTTAAAAAAATATGTGTTTGTTAGGGTGAAAGCATAAGTGTCTATTGCCACAACCAGAATAATATATTTGATATTTGAGAAACAAAAATCCACTTCATAACAGTTAAAAAAATATGTGTGTTAGGGTGAAAGCATAAGTGTCTATTGCCACAACCTCACTGAACATACTGCATAACTTCTCTTCTAAGTCAAGGTCAATTCCACAGAACTTGAATTTCTTGGCGATAGGCGCTACCTGCAATATGCGGAGAAGTTGATTACTTTAAATAGTTCAGTAAGAGACATTACTGGAAAAGAGACTTTCATGTAATGAAAATTAAGTAATGAAAATTGTTACCTCCGATTTCTCTGTCCACCATTTCTTTGAAGCATCAATAGTCCGTTCGATTGGATCCCAACACAAGCTTGTGGATCCTCGTTTTAATTCCTTCCATAATTTTCAGTCCTTCTTCAACTGATCTCACTTGTTCTTAAGTTGCAACATATTGTACTCCATTTCTATCATTTCTTTGAACTTCGTCATAATATTTTGTCACCCTTCCTTATTAAAATAGGTGGTGAGCTTATTTCTTAGCTCAACATTCTTAAAATAGAGGTCGCAAAATATGAATTTGCCTTCCCTATCACACATGGTTGATGAACTGACTTCTTCAGTTTTAACCATTGTGTTACTAGAATAGAAAAAAAACAAACCTTAATATTTCACAACAACCACAACACAACAATTAGCCACGAGAACCAAACAACCGCAGCACAACCACCTGCACCCCGGCACAAACCAAAGCCGCCACACATCTGCGTCACCACCTCAACCCACAACTAACACACATCACAACCGAGAGCCACCACAAGCCACCCACATATATGCTCTGAATTCACACAACCACCACAGCCCATAATATAGACACCACATGCCAGAGCCACTACCCCAACCCACAACCAACTACACCATAACCACAGTAACAACCAACCACCAAAACCCAGAGCTACCACAAGCCACCCACATATATGCCCTGATTCACACAACTACCACAACCACAACAACAGAGCCGCCACAAGTCAGAGCCATCAACCCAACTCAATACCAACGACACAACCACAACACATCCACCTGCACCACAACACAAGTCAAAGCCATCACACAACCCAACCCACAACCTACTACCACCACCCCAACCAACAACCATCACACAACCACTCAACACACATCACATGCCAAATCCACCACACAACCACATCGCACTAGTCCACGCCACATCACATTCACATAACCACCACACAGACAACCATCAAAATCTAAAGCCACTGTAGCACACCCATTTATATGCTCTGAATTAACACAACTACCACAGCCCACAACAAAGCCATCAGCCCAATCCAATACCAACCACTCCACAACCACACAATCACAACACATCCATCTGCTCCACAAAACACGCCAGAGCCACCACACAACACAATTACCCTCACCCCAACCCACAGTCTTCTACAACCACCCCAACCCACAACCACCACACAATCACACAACACACATCACAAGCTAGAGCCACCACACAACCACAACACCTCAACCCACATCACATCACAACCACATAACCATCACAACACAACCATTCACAATAACCCTGAGCCACCACATCACACCCACATATATACCCTGAATTCACACAACCGTAGCCCACAACAGAGCAACCACAAGCCAGAGCAATCACCTCAACCTAATACCAACCACAAAGCTTAAATAACTATCCGGTATGTGATAACATACATGTTAATTACTTTATAGTTGGTAGGAAATGTGAAAAACATCACTTGCAAAGAAGATTAAAAACACAGGTAATGGTGGGAGTAAAAAAGTGATTTTATATGGTAGTGGAAAACAAGAATATTTGCTTGTATAGTTATAATGTGAAGTCTTATGCAATTATTTTATGGGAATATTTTAGAGTTTATTGCTTCTTCCCAAAAGATCTCACTCACTTCATTCTTGCTCGAGAAACTCCCATCTCCTAAAAAAATCTAAAACTACAATATTTATGATGGAAAATTCAATGTGAGTCATGTTCTCATCGGGCATGATAATTAATAGAAAACCCAAAAGATTCAAAACGCGAGGCACCACTTTAGGAGTCTGTAGTCACTATACCCTAATTTAATTGAGAGTTAACCATGCTTCCACTCTGAAATAATCAACCTCAATCTTTCACACCAACACAAAATCGCAAAAAAACAACAAGAGAAAAGACCACACCAAAGCAAAATCTCAAGAGATGAGCCAATTGCAAAATCTTAAAAGTGGAAAATTAGCAAGAGAAGAACCAATCGCCAGATCATAATGTCATAGACAGGTTCGAAGTCCTTATCGTGGAGATGCTCGGCCACGAGAAGGGGGAGGGAGAAGCCGGCACAATCGCGAGAGAAGAGAGGGAAGATTCGGTGGCATGAGAGGGCTCGGGGCCGAGAGAAGAATGATGGGATAGTAAAAAAGCGCAGCACGTCAAAAAATAGGAAATGCGAGCCGCGGGGTCGAGCTCGTGGTTCAAGTTCCGCCAAAATTATCCCAAACTCCCCCAAAGCGTGACACAAACAAAAAAAAATTGTTCGGCTTGGGCCACACAGTGCAAGAAATGCGGCCCCAAACACATCATAAAACTTAGTTCTTTGTAGGCATTCAAGGCGGCGGATGCAACAAATTTTTCAAAATTACAGTTTTATCTTTGTAGAAGCTGTTGTAAAGTAAGGCAAAAGTTATTTAAAAGTTTCCTCTAAACTTCCCTAATTTGGCACAATTTGAGGGTTGAAATAATTAAATCCTTCCTCCTTCAACCAAACGAAAACGCAACGTGTGACCTCCCAAGTCAAGTCAATTCATCTTTCAAATTCCATTGCCGTGGCCTCCAAGCTTCCCCGCCGTATAAATACCCTCCTCCACCTCATCCAAAAACTCTCAGAAATAAAAACATTCAATTTTTACAAATAATGGCCTCTTTTTTAGCGCCCGGGTTGGTCGAAGCCTACGTTGCGAAGAAGCTCTACAAGGAGAAGATGAACAGAATGGAAGAAGAGCTGGGAAGAAGCCAAGATAGCCGAATCAGTGACAAAGATGGCGAGAAAAAGAAGAGTCTCTTTGGTTTTTTGAGAAAGAAAGTTCATCCAAATGAGTTTCGCGAGCAGGCTGGGATGTCCATGGATTGATCTTATTATATAGCAGGAGAAATTAACTATATGGCTTTTATAAGTCTGTTTGATTATGCTTAGATAACGGATTTATATTCTGTTTACCGTTATGTTTGAATTCTTCAGTGCTTATTTAGGGAGGGTGAAGAAGAAGCTCTGTTTACTTTTTCTTCTGGTTGATCTGGTCTGTAAATCTTTCTTGGTGGTGTTTGGCTGTAATTTAGATTTTAGTTTAATAGAATTTATAAA